AATAAACGTCATAGATTGTATCATACCTTTTTTTTTCAAATTCTTATATTCTTATATGATACATATATATATACATCTGGACTTTAAGGAAACAAAAAGAAGCAGTAGAGTATCAAATGGGTTTTTTGACCACAAAATATGTAAGTATTTTCAGAAATGACCGTTCTTTTGTCTTGTGGTATATGTGTATAATAGCACTTATAGTTAGTGCCCTTGACTAAAATAAATTATAAATGGCTTGTGATTGTGCTTAAATGTATATCAATGAGATCTTGTATGATTTTAACAAGTTGCAGGTTATTGTGGGACTTTGCTTTCAGCAAAGTCCCAGTTTGTTATCGAAATGTCAATTCTTTTTGTGGGACTTTGCTTTCAGCAAAGTCCCAGTTTGTTATCGAAATGTCTATTCTTTTTTTTTTTTTTTTTTCGAAATTTACACACCTTCCTGTGCTTAGACTGCAATAGTTGCAGCAACCATTCAACTTTCCTAGACCTTCTGTAGTGGCAACGTGTTGCATAAATATAAATTGGAACATTTTTGCAAAACCGGAAATGCCACAGTCCAATATGTGCAAAAATAAGAAAATCGGACCTAAAAGTCGCATTTTCCGGTCGATTTTCTTCGGGTTTTTATTTCTGGAATCTACGTGTAATTTCTGATATAATAGCACTTAAACAACTTCGAAATTCGAAAATTTGTCGCACACTTTTTTCGGCCGAATTTTGCAATTTTTTAACAAAAAAAAAAACTTTTTAGCTTTTTGTCTGATTAATCTAAAAAAAATTGAGCAAAGACAATTCATGAACGTGAACAAAATTGTATAGTCAAATTTTTTACTTTACTTCCGGTTTAAACGGGAAATCGATTCTCACTTCCGGTTGAACTACTTCCGGTGTAATTAATTTAGCGCGACGAAACTTATATGAAACGATAGCCAAAGTTATGACAAAAAAACGAAGAATATAAAATCCGGTCCGAAGGTAATACTTTGGTCGCCATTTTGATTTTTCTGAAATGCGTCAGAATCTATTCAGAGATAACGGCTTATCCGATTTTGATGATTTTGGTGTCAAATAAAAGAAAATAAAAATTAAAAAAAAACTGTGGGAGCCGATTTTTGAATTTCGCTTTTGCTTTTTTGCAATTTCCGATTGAATTTTTTCATGACCTTGACCTTCATTGGGTCAAAGGTCATTGACCTTGGCTATCAGCTGATACTTTCATATTCGACCTCCGACATCTACTTCCGTTTTTATGGATGTCTAAAAACAGCCAAATTCGCAACTTTGGACTGCTCTAGCACGTGACCTAATTATCCTAGAGGGTTAATTTTTTCGGATTCTTAATGTGCTCTTCATACTCTTTCTAACGATATATCACAAAAGTTTTTAAAATCAAAATTGAAATTCGTACTTTTTTTATATTTGAGTGTTTTTTACAATATTTTTGTGTTTTTGAGCTTAGTGTATGTATATCTTTTGACCTATTTGATGTAGAAGTTTGAAATTTATAACACTACTAGACATTTTGAAAATGAATTAAATCATGACAAAAAAGTTCAGGTGGGCGTGGCACATCCACGTTAAATTGCTAGTTGTTCAAATCTGGGACAGGGGCATAACTTGCATAGTCTACATTTGTTCAATAAGGGACCTTGCACACAAATACCTCATCTCTTTGGCCAGTTTGTGTTTAAAGGACAGTTGTTTCAGATTTATAGTTCAAAAAAAGGAACGGGTTTTAGAATTTCCATATTTTCATTTTTTGACATTGACCTTTGATGACCTTAACGTTTGTAGGGTCAATGGTCATTAACCTTGATTATCTATTTATACTTTCATATTTGATGTCGGACGTAAGCTTCCGGTTTTGTAGTCGTATGCACTTTGAAATTTTGATGAGTGATATCTCGTGACCTTGTCCTTTGGTGACCTTGACCTTTACAGGGTCAAAGGTCATTGACCTTGGCTATCATTTGATAATTTGACATTTGACCTCCGACATGTACTTCCGGTTTTATAGCTGTCCGAAAAAAACAAATTCGCAACTTTGGACTGCTGTAGCACGTGACATAATTAACTTAGAGGATTAATTTTTTCGGTTTCCTAATGTGCTTCTCACGCACCTTACATTGATATATAACAATCGTTTTTTTACAGCAAAATTGAAATTCGTCATTTTTTTCAAATTTGAGGGTTTTTTTTTACAATATTTGTGTCTCTTTGAACTTGGTGTATGTATATCTTATGACCTATTTGATGTAGAACCTTGAAATTTGGAATACATCTAGACACTTTGAATATGAATTCACCTATGACAAATAAATTGATGTGGGCGTGGCACACCCGGGTTGAATTACTAAATGTTTACATTTTTGGGAAGGGGCATAACTTGCATAGAATACATTTGTTCAAAAAGGAACTTTGCACACAATTACATCATCCTTTTGGCCAGTTTGTGTTAACAGCTCAGTTGTTTCAGCTTTATAGGTCCAAAAAAGGAACGGGTTTTAACATTTGGATATTTTCAATTTTCGATTTTGACCTTTGTTGACTTTTGTTGACCTATATCTTTTGACATGTATTATGTATAACCTTGGCATTTGATACACGACGTAACATTTTGAATATTAATTAAATTATATCAAATAAATGAGGTGGGCGTGGCACATCCGGGTAATATTACTCATTATTGATATTTTTGGCCAGGGGCATAACTCGCAAAGTATACGTTTGTTCAAAATGGAACTTTGCATACAATTATCTCATGCATTGAGCCACTTTGTCTTAGAAGTTCATTTGTTTCCGCTTCATAATTCAAAAAAAGGAACAGGTTTTGGAAATTCAAAATTTTCAATTTTTGACCTTGACCTTTGATGACCTTGACCTTTATTGGGTCAAAGGTCATTGACGATGTCTATTAGTTTATGCTCTCATATTTGACCTCTGACGTCTACTTTCGCTTTTATAGCTGTCCAAAAACATCCAAATTCGCAACTTTGGACTGTTCTAGCACGTGACCTAATTAACCTAGAGAGTAAATTTTTTCGGTTTCCTAATGTGCTTCTCGTGTACTTTACATAGATATATAACAATCGTTTTTTTTAAAGCAAAATTGAAATTCGTGATTTTTTCAAATTTGAGTTTTTTTTTTACAATATTTGCGACTTTTTGAGCTTAGTGTATGTATATGTTATGATCTATTTGATGTAGAACCTTGATATTTGGAATATAACTAGACACTTTGAATATGAATTCACCTATGACAAAAAAAATTGGGATGGGCGTGGCACATCCGGGTTGAATCACTAATTGTTTACATTTTGGGGCTGGGGCATAACTCGCATAGGATGCGTTTGTTCAAAAAGAGACTTTGCACACAATTACCTCATCCTTTTGGCCAGTATGTATTAACAGCTCAGTTGTTTCAGCTTTATAGTTTCAAAAAAGGAACGGGTTTTAACATTTGGATATTTTCATTTTTCGATTTTGACCTTTTTTGACTTTTGTTGACCTATATCTTTTGACCTCTATTATGTAGGAACTTGACATTGGAACATAACGTAACATTTTGAATATTGATTAACTTATTCAAAAAAAATTGAGTTGGGCGTGGCACTTCCGGGTTTAATTACTCATTATTGACATTTTTGGCCAGGGGCATAACTCGCAAAGTATACATTTGTTCAAAATGGAACTTTGCATACAATAACCTCATATTGTGAGCCACTTTGTCTTAGAATTTCGGTTGTTTCCGCTTCTTAGTTCAAAAAAAGGAACAGGTTTTGGAAATTGAAAATTTTCAATTTTTGACCTTGACCTTTGTTGACCTTGACCTTTCTAGGATCGAACGTCATTGGCATTGGCTATCTATTTGTACTTTCATATTTGCTGTCCTATGTCAACTTCCGGTTTTATAGTCGTGTGCAATTTGAAATTTTGATGACGTATATCTCTTGATCTTGACCTTTTTAGACTTTCTCTTTTACAAGATCAAAGGTCATTGACCTTGGCTATCTGTTGATACTTTCATTTGTGAGGTCTGACGTCTACTTCCGGTATTAGAATCTTCTAAAAAATGAAAATTTCTCAACTTTAGACTGTTCTTGCGCTTGATCTAATTATCATGGAAGGATGATTTTTTCGGGGTCTGTTGCAATTTGCTACATTTGCAAAGTCCCACTCTGTGCCACGAGTGGCTCTAGTTTCTTTTTATTATGGATCTTAGTTGTGAAGTTTGATTTGCTGCATTTTCATTTGTTGTATGACCCAAAATACACTTTTGATAGATTTTTAAACACTAAACACAATCATCAAATCAAGTAATAATAAACATCAGCCAGATATTATGCAAGGAAAGGTAATATTATGTTCACTGGCAGCTTTGATTATGAATAAAAATATTTGGCAATACAGTAACAATCTCAACTTTCTGTCATACACTTCTTTTTATACGCCCTCATGAAATGGCAGGCGTACATTGTCGTCACCCATGTCCATCCGTCGGTCAGTCCGTCCACAAATGCTCGTAAACACTCTACAAGGCACAATTCTTGACTGATTTTGACGAAACTTGATATGAGTGTTTGCTATCGCCCAAGGCTGAATATTGTATACTGGTGTTACTGAACTGCCAAATATTTTTATTCAAAAATCAAAGCTGCCAGTGGGCGTATATTACCTTGCCAAGCTACATTGATATTTTTTTTCTATTGAAAATCAGAAAAATCGAAAACATTTAGTATGAGTTATTGCCCTTGTTCTTGAAAACAAGTTCAATTTTTAGGTTGTAAATACTTTAGAAGGCACAATTCGTGACTGATTTTGACGAAACTTGGTATGAGTGTTTGCTATCACCCAAAGATGAACCCTATTGAAAATCAGAAAAATCGAAAAATATTTACTATGAGTTATTGCCCATGTGTTAGAAAAGGCGTTCAATTTTTAGCTCGTCAACACTAAAGACACAATTCTGGCCTGATTTTGACAAATTGGGTAATATTATTCAATATTTATTTATATTTATATTGTATACTGGTGATTGTTACTGTACTGCCAAATATTTTTTATCCAAAATCAAAGCTGCAAGTGGGTGTATATTACCTTGCCTGGCCAGCTACCTTGAAATTTTTATTAGGGTTTACACTTAAATGATAATTAATAATTTCAATAATTTTTGAAGTTTGGTAAAATTTTTTAAGAATTGTGTAACTGGTTACATCTCTGTACATTGACGGATGGGTCCCCAAGTAATAGATTGTTCTTCTATGTTGGAATAAACACCAGACTCTTCATCATCTTCATTCTGCTTCATCATTTTATCTACAGAATAAAAATAATCATAATTATGTTATAATCTTTGTAAGACATATAGAAGCAGGAAGGTAAACATTAAGAACACAAGTTATATGGATATACTACTTCTAGTTTTATTACATACTACGTTTCGAAACACATACAGGTAATGTTATCAAGTAAAATGATTAACAACCAAACAACACAAGGTATATAGGCAAATCAATAGAAGCTATAAAGGGATATAACAACAACAATCATGATTATGTTACTGACAAATGGAAGGCACTCATCGGTGCTATTACTAGTGTTAATTGAAATTTCTCCATGGTCCATTCTTAAGATAGCTTGCCAGACAGTGTAATATACGCCCACTGGCAGTACAGTAACAATTACCAGTATGAAATATGCAACCTTCAGTCTTACACTTCTTTTCAACTTTTTGGGGCGATACTGTACAATATTACCAAGTTTCGTCTAAATCTGTCAAGAATCTGGCCTTCTAAAGTGTTTACAAGCTAAAACTTGAACGCGTTTTTAAGAACAAGCAATAACTCATACTAAATATTTTTTGATTCTTTTAATTTCAATTGGGTTCATCCTTGGGTGATTGCAAACACTCACACCAAGTTTCATCAAAATCTGTCAAGAATTGCACCTTTTGGAGTGTTTATTAACATTTCAAGAACAAGGGCAATAACTCATACTAAATATTTTTTGATTTTTCTGATTTTCTATAGGGTTGATCCTTAAGTGATTACAAACAACCATACCAATTTTCGTCAAAATCAGTCACTAATTGTTCCTTTTAGAGTGTTTACGAGAAATAGTGGACGGACCGACGGATGGACTTGGGTGACGACAATATACACCCCCAATTTCATGTAGGCGTATGAAAATAAGAGAATAGAGTTTTCTGCCATGATCATTACTGACATATTGACCCCATCCTGAGCATGTGCTACAACAATCAAAATATAATTGTAATCATATAATTATAGTGTAAACAATTAATTACTTAAATACAAATACACAATTATCAAAACTGATATAACAAGGTTTATTTATCAGATTTATAAAGCAAGTCCCTGTGCCCTGAATCATTTTTGTCACATTGTTCAATTCTTGGGACAGAATTCATCCTCATTATCAGCAAGTTGAGCAAACTATTCTATGCACATTATTCATTTTCCTGATATAAACAAACTTTCTTACATACCAGAAAGCCAAATAAGATCCAGGAAGGATGTAGGCCTATTGTGACCCAAAACAATATCAGTACTCAGTACTCATCAAGAAGTTTTTGTCAATTTACTAAAATTCTAGATCTAACTTTAAGGAACCTTAAAACTAAGTTAATAGAATCTGTTCTCACATAAAACTTTGTCTTATACTGCAATAGCCACCTTGTTTTGTATCACAAATTTTTGCAAATCAAATTGATTGGATTGTATCCTAGCGAATACAGTTAATCAGGGCTTCAACAGAAAAACCAAAAGACATAATGATTACAGTTTTCTGTCAAGGGCTCTGGTGGGCTTTATTCCTTGGCATAAAATCCAATCAAATCGCTGCATTCCATGGTATGAGAAAAGTGGCTATAGCTCAAATCCTAAACTAGCAGTATATAATACACCTACCTGTATTAATACCTCGAATACAGTCTTGGAGAACCGTCTGATCTATAAATAGAATATATAAATGGATATTATGTTAATATGGATGGTAATATAGCATAAAAGCAATTTAAGTGCAAGAATTTACTTAAGTTATCTTAAGTCACATTGTGTGGTACTATTATTCTAGACCAAGATTTGGGTGTATCGAAAATAAGATGAATTGAAAATATCCATGCAAAATAACAATGATGAAATATTTTTTCAAAAGATATAATCACTTAGGTAAACCACCTGTTTCTATAGTATAGTTAAAAGTAAAAAAAATCTCTGTACTCTATATACACATGGCTCTAGATTTCATTTATTATTATTATTTCATGGTAAATGTTTGTCTTGTTCAAACTGTTAAAAGTAGATGGTAATAAATTTATGATTGGTACTAATATTTTAGACTTATATATTTTCATTATCAAAAACCTAGTAAATTATGCCTGAAAATATTTCTAAAGTATGTTATTTATTTATTATATCTTATTTAAGATTTGTTCAATATTATTAGTTGAGTCCTTAAGAATACATAAGAGTAAAATAAATGCCTAATTTTAGAGAAATATGTCTGCTACGTATTCTAAGGGTTTCAACTAATAATATCGTCATTATAAAGGCAAACACCAAAACCTGGTCAAACTGCATAATTAACAAGTTAGTACTATAAAATACTGACCAGAATCAGTACCAGTATCTGTACACTGAATACTGTTTCCACGAGGTGAATGATCTAAGAATGTAAATTGAAATGTAAATTATGTTAAACTGGATCATATTCTTGCATATTGTTGAGTTTGTTGAGAAAAAGAATTTGTTTTTCCATGGAAAATAGATTTGGGTGTATCGAACAAAAGATTTATTGAAAATATCCATGCAAAACAACAATGATAAAATATTTTTTCAAAAAATATAACACTTACCTAGACCACCTGTTTCTACAGCATCTGTAAAAGTAAAAAAAAAACTGTCTGAGCTCTGTATTATTGATAGTAGTGAGTCCATTTGCTACCTGTAAGGTTGACAGGAAAGTTCCCATCGGCGCCATTGTGTAAACATAAACAAGGAAGAAATTCCATGAATTATTCTATAGAAGGAGGAAGTGATTCAGAAAAAATGCTTCAAGAGAGTGGATTGATAATGGATCACTGTTGGTGTACAAACCTGGTTGATTCTTTACCAATATTGTGAGTAATCCCTTGTCAGTGTTGACCAATAATAGGCTAATTATAGCTAAATGTAGAGTTCAACTAGAACGAAACTGATGGGGCTGTACACACCAGATAAAGGATGTTCCAAAGAAAAGTTCTTCTTCTTAGTTATCTACTATGCGATCAATTTACTGTAATCTTTTAACCTTGTGCTAAATTACCTATTGATTAATCTTTCAAAACCCGCGTTAGTGATTTTTATGAAAAAATTATCATGCCCTACAGCAAAGGTTATCTCAAATATTTTTTTATCCCATTCAATCTGATTTGAATTCGTGTATTTGAACAAATGATTGATATCGAATTTTAATTGTTAATTCATGTAAGATTATATTATGTTACATATACTTACTTGGTGTTGCATCAAATGGTTCTGATCTAAGCATATACTTTATTAAAAGCTGTTCATTTTCAGCTCTTATTAACTCAGCACGGGCATCTGGAAATAGATGTAGAAGCTATAAAGGGATATAACAACAACAATCATGATTATGTTACTGACAAATGGAAGGCACTCATCGGTGCTAATTGAAATTTCTCCATGGTCCATTCTTAAGATAGCTTGCCAGACAGTGTAATATACACCCACTGGCAGTACAGTAACAATTACCAGTATGAAATATGGAACCTTCAGTCTTACACTTCTTTTCAACTTTTTGGGGCGATACTGTACAATATTACCAAGTTTCATCTAAATCTGTCAAGAATCTGGCCTTCTAAAGTGTTTACAGGCTAAAACTTGAACATTTTTAAGAACAAGGGCAATAACTAAATATAACACTAAATATTTTTCACCTTGGGTGATTTGGGCATATAAAAATAACAATGATGAAATATTTTTTCAAAAAATATAATCACTTACTTAGAACACCTGTTTCTACAGTATCTGTAAAAGTAAAAAAAACCTCTGTACTCTATATACATATGGCTCTAGATTTCATTTATTATTATTATTTCATGGTAAATGTTTGTCTTGTTCAAACTGTTAAAAGTAGATGGTAATAAATTTATGATTGGTACTAATATTTTAGACTTATATATTTTCATTATCAAAAACCTAGTAAATTATGCCTGAAAATATTTCTAAAGTATGTTATTTATATCAATGTTTTTACTTGGTGAACTGAACTTGTTTAAAAGGGTTAATAATTAAAATGAAGAGTACTAATTTATAATTAAGCAGTTAAACATATTTTTGGCTTTATAATGGTTCAATATCATTAAATAAGAAAAGTGGGGGTGTCCAAGTTTAGATTGTCATTGATTAGGTGTGGTTGGAAATTTCGACTGGAGTGTCTCGGTAAGTGGAAGTGAGAGGCAACTGATGAGTTCCTCTTATGATGGATGTCAGCAAAGTGTTCTTTCAGTCTGATGCGGAACAATCTTTTAGTCTCATCTACTTATTGTTTTTGACATTAATTACACGTGAGGAGGTAGATGAGATTTCTACTAGTGCAGGTCCAGGTTTTGGAACAGGTGTAAGATTTGTTCAATATTATTAGTTGAGCCCTTAAGAATACATAAGATGCAAACTGATTTTAATTCGTGTATGTGAACAAATGATTGATATCAAATTTTAATTGTTAATTCATGTAAGATTATATTTTGTTTGATAACATATACTTACTTGGTGTTGCAAGCTGTCTATTTTTAGCTTTTATTAACTCCGTACGGGCATCTGAAAATTGAAGCATTTCTTTTTGAGAATGTTTTGTGGCAGAAATCATGTGAACACGATAGAGGCTGCAGATTTGTAACCTTTGAAATTAATATGTATATATTATTAGTGCATAGTGTATATCATAGTTTTGAGTTATTGTCCTTGGTTTAGCCATATTGCATGAAAAGTATCTTTTGAACCAGATAATCTCAAACAAGTTGATGTTCACAAATATTAAATGAAGAGTCTTATAGTTATTGCCCTTGACATGGCAAAAATTTGCAATAGAGGCTAATCTTAATTTGATATAACTTGGTATGCTTATATAACTTATGATTTCAACCTCAGTTTCTTAACATGATTAATTTACTTCTGTCTAGAAACTAGAAATTTTGTACTCACTTAATTTGGCAATTTCCAAATATTTGCCAAAATCAGATTTGTTCAAATTAGACATCTTCTGTCTGAAACAATAAAATAAAGCAAATTATATTGTTTTTTTATAGCAAAAAATTTATTTGTAACAAAATATTGTTATCTTCAAACTTATCAAGGCCTCATCAGTCAGCAGAGCATATTAAATTTCATCATCACATTGCATGAGAGCTACAGTTTCTATGGTATGATACATTTCATGGAGTCAAGGGATGATACAAAACATTTAACTCTGAGGTAAAATAGAATACAAATAGACAAATTTTTTTATTTTGGTTAAATTAATACATGCAATTCAGAGGTTTCTGCATGTGCTATGATATGAGAGCACCTGTACATGAGACTTTAACAAGCCATCTGATTTCTTCAGTCATATGAGTCATATGAACATGAGTACTTAGACAGGTTCTGATAGCTTTTTTAAAAACAATTATTTGAATGATGTTATTTTGTGAATGTATAAATCTAATACAATCTGTAACTTATCATGAAATCATTTTGTAATCTTTATACGTCCACATGAAATGGGGGGCGTATATTGCTGTCACCCATGTCATACAAAATATTTTTCAATTCTTCTGATTTTCGATAGGGTTTATCCTTGGTTGATAACAAACACTCATGCCAAGTTTCGTTAAAATCCGTCAAGAATTGTCCTTCTAGAGTGTTTATGAGCTAAAAATTGAACGCGTTTTCAAGAACAAGGGCAATAACTTATACTTAATATTTTTCGATTCTTCTGATTTTCAATAGGGTTCATCGTTGGGTGATTACGAACACTCATGCCAAGTTTTGTCAAAATACGTCATTTCATGTGGGCGTATAAAAATACCAGCTTGTCTCACATGTCCATAATTAATTCATAATAAGCTAAATTGGAAGAGAATTCCAATGAGAGACCGATCAAGAAAGGTCAAAAAGTCTTTTTAATTTATCCAGACTGTATGTACATGGACATTTACTATTGGTTAAGACTCGTAATTATATGCAATAAGAACATAATGATATGATTAAGAACATAATGATATGATTAAGAATACATGATAATTCATTAAAAACACCAATTAATCAAATAGTTTACTTAATTTGACACTAAAAAACAAGGAAACCCATCTTTTAGTGTGAAATTAATGCTTTGTTGCCACATTATAGAATTTTTAAAATTAAAATTGAGGGAGAGAATCAAAATTGTTGTGAACTACGTTTGTGTGTGTTATTTACAATTATGAACTATATTTATTTTCCTATGGATTGTTTTTGAATCAATTCTTTTTTTTTAGGACTACTAAGTTGAATTGTCTGTAATACTGTAGACCTGCATAATATAATGTAATATATAATATTATTTACAAATCTAATCAAATCAAAGAATCAAAACTTGATTTGACCCATTGGCAAAAAATAAAGATCCATAAAAAAGAAACAGAATTTCTGTGAATTATATCTCTTGGATTTGTGCTGAAATCAGGCAAATTGGGACTTAGGCAGTTTTAATTTTTTTAGGTTTAAATCTGCTTCCTTGTCTAATACCCAAATAACTTTAAGAAATGGTAATATAGTCAATTTCTAAGCTTTTTAACGAAATATATCAATGTTTATTTGCCTACATGGAAATGTGGATGTATATAGCTGTTGCCCCGCTTCGTCAAAATTTCTTGTGAACACAATAGAAACTACAGTTTTTAACTAATTTTAATGAAACTTGGTGAGATCATTTATATTGATGGGAGTTTGGTCAAGTTCGAATTTGTCAATTTTTGTAGAAAGGTTTTTGAGTTATTGACCTTGACTTATAAAAAACGCAAGAAGAGACCACAGTTTTCATCTGATTTTAATGAAATTTTTGTGTGATCATTTATATTCACGACACCATGGTTGAATTTAAATTTATTTTGAGTTAATGCCCTTGACTTGAGAAAAACGTGTCAAATTTTATTTGTGAACACAATACAGACTACAGTTTTCATCTGAAATTTGGTGTGATCATTTATATTGACAAATGAAATGAAATGAATGGAGTTTTACATAATATTTATCTATAGTGATCTTGGTCAAGTTTGAATTTTTAACAATTTGTCACTTAACAATCTTAATACTTAACTTAACTTATTTGGGTTATTGATATTGATTTATAAATGTATAAATAACTGACAGTAAATATATATATATTTGACGAAACTTGGCATGAGTGTTTGTTGTCAACCAAGGATAAACCCCAATGAAAATCAGAAAAATCGAAAAATATTTACAATGAGTTATTGCCCTTGTTCTTGAAAACGCGTTCAATTTTTAATTCGTAAACACTCTCGAAGGCACAATTCTCGACGGATTTTGACGAAACTTAGTGTGAGTTTTTGTTATCAACCAAAGATAAACCTTTGGAAAATCAGAAAAATCGAAAAATATTAAGTATGAGTTATTGCCCTTGTTCTTGAAAACGCGTTCCATTTTTAGCTTGTAAACGCTCTAGAAGGGACAATTCTTGACGGATTTTGATGAAACTTGGCATGAGTATTTGTTATCATCCAAGGATAAACCCTATCGAAAATCAGAAAAATAAAAAAATAATTAGTATGAGTTATTGCCCTTGCTATTGAAAACTCGTTCAATTTTAGCTCGTAATCACTCTAGATGGCACAATTCTTGACAGATTTTGATGAAACTTGGTGTGAATGTTTGTAATCACCCAAGGATGAACCCTAATGCAAATCAGAAGAATTGAAAAATATTTAGTATGAGTTATTGCCCTTGTTCTTGAAGTCCTGAAGAATGAATATTTGCCTTCTAGAGTTTTCACGAGCTAAAGATTAAACACCTAAATTGAAAAGAAGTGTATGACTGAAGGTTGAATATTTCATATTGGTGATTGTTACTGTACTGCTAAATATTTTTATTCAAAATCAAAGCTGCCAGTGGGCGTATATTACCTGGCGTGGCAAGCTATCTTTTTTGTGTGGATTGGATCAGTCTCTTCCATATTTAGAATTTTTGAAATATAGGAATCCATGTTCCAAACATTTAGGAATATTCCTGGCACTCGGCTTGTGTTGTTGTCTTATTCGCAATATTCAAATGGCTATAAAAACGGATGTAAATATCATACAACAAAATCAAAGGCACCATGTCATAGATTTCGTCAAGGGCTATGGCTTTTCGTCAGACCACTAGTCATCAAAGGTCAAGGTTACGAGATATGAGCCTTAAAAGTTTTGAAAATAACTGTTTTTGGAAGCCTATAAAAACCGGAAGTAGGTGTCGGACATCAAAGATCAAAGTATAAATTGACATTATAGGTCAATGCCCTTTGACCTTGAAAAGTTCAAGATCATCCAAAATCGTGGGTGACCGCTTGAAACCTTGTATATGCCATATTTGGTCATTTTGACCTTTTGGTACCGTTCGAAAGCTTGTAAAGCGCTGATCATGTGATCAAAACCTTTTTCTGTGGATGAAAATGAAAAACCTTGTATACTTTATTATTATTATACGAGTTTTTGGTTCAATAGGCCGGAGAACTCAAATTGTTATACGAGGTTTATATTTTCAAAGAAAAATATAATAAAAAAGATTTTAACAAAATACGCGTACAAATAGTTATATGTGTTTTCCTCGAAAAGTAATTTCAAGTCATATATCGTTATACAAGGTTTCAAGCGGTATCTAGTAAATTATAAAACCTGTTCCTTTTTTAAAGTAAAAAGCCCAGACAGATTTACCTTTACCACATATTGGCCAAACTAGTAATCTATTATCCTGCAAAATATTATAGGTGACAATTACATACTTTGCGAGTAAATAAATAACATATATATAAGGTAAATCTAAATCGGATGTGCCACGCCCATCCCAAAATTTTTGTCACATCTGTTATAATGTTTACAATGCTCAGCTATGTTAAAAATTTCAAGCATCTTAAGTTATTAGATTATGAGATATTCATACTTTCATGTTAAAGGCTTGAGATTTTACGGCAAATGTCAACTTACGCACAGTTACTATAGAAGTCAGTAAAAAATTTTCAAATTTTAAAAAGCGCAATTTTGATCAAAATATCTAGTGTTATATACCATTGGAAAGAAGAAATATATGAGAAATTTTGTCATATGTAAATTAGGTCACGTGACACAGCTCTTTAAAATTAAAATCGCTGTAAAACCAGATTTTCACATTGCACAGCACAACTGAAGACATCATTGGATAGATCTCAGGGGTAACAACTTTTGTGCGAGTCATAAGGTCACCAAAGGTCAAGGTCACGAAATATGGGCCTTAAAACATTTTACATTCACTGGATAAATATGACCGGAAATATAAGAAAAGCAAAATCAAAATTAAAAAATCGGCCTCCTGAGAATTGTTTGCAATCGATTGAAGATAACATAGACATCACACACATCCGATTACCCCCTTAGGCCAAATTTTTCGCTTTACAAAAGTTAATCATAACAATATGGCGGTTGACCTGTTACTTCCGGGTCAGATTTTTTAAATATTACATCTTTGCATGGGCAATTCTAGATTATTGCAAAAATAATATTTCAAATATCTTCAAAATTCCGGAAGTAAATTTTCAGATCGATCAAAATTAGAAAAAAAGAAAAAAAAACATTTTCGTCCTACGTCATTTCATAATATTTACTTTAACGAGTTTTACAAGGAAATCGAAAAAGTGAGTATGTGGCATGCGTAGTTTAGGCTAGGCATTTGCAGAAGAATTTGAAAAAAAAAAAAGAAGTTCGTAAGTCACATTTTGGATGATTTGAGTTAGCTAAACTAAAACATACTTAAAAAGGAGTCACATACATGCAATAAAACCACATAAGTCAATTGACCAATCATATCTTTTAAATCATCAATATGTATATTTGCGCATGTCATATGGTGACTTAGGCATTAAGTTCAAGTTGACATTCAAGGCAACATGGCTCTCAGAAAAGGTCAATTTTACTTTAAAGATGAGGAAGTTTTAAAACTGATAGAAGATTGCAAGTATAAAACACTATTCATAGACTTTTTTTTTCAACTCAAATAATGTAATTGAATAATTTTGTGACCCAAAAAAATCATTATCTCCTATCACACAATGACATAGCTCTCATCCATGAGTTAGGCAAAAGTGTTATTAATAGTTTTAATGCTAAATTAAGATTATTTGTATGTTCTAAAGCCATGCAGTGCCTTATAACAATTAACTAAAATTGCTTTTCTATAAAGATGTGTAATACTATTTATCTATAGTGACGATTCGCCATTGTCATTCAAACAATTTCACGTTGTACATATTTTCGTTATAGGTTCAGATGAAAGTGACGATTCTTCTAATAGCAATCCTTGCTCATAGTATTCTTCAGTAGCAGTTACTTCCAACACAAAAAACAATGTCAACGTTATTGTAGAAGAAGTTAAAACTATTGATCCTTCTCTTAGTTTGATCAATCTAACCTCAACTCAAACGACTGACTACAGCATACAACCCTCTTCATACAGAGAAAAGAACCAAGAACAACTTGAAACCATTAAAGAACTATCCAAAGCAAAAAATCATTGAAGACAAACATTCTTCTGAATCTGTTTATCCTTCTACCTCATTTCTAATTACTGGCGCTCATACTGATTTACCAACTGTTGAAGAAACTATAGTTCATCCAGATATTTCCTCTAAGATAACTTCTGATACTGAAAATGAAAGCTTTGATGATTCCTTGGACAAAGACTACAGTCCTTCAGATTCATCGACAGATTCAGACAAAATTGAACAGACATCAAAATGCAAACGAAATAAAAAACCACAAACAGATCAATGGCAAATGAATGTAAGTAAAAGTAAAAGGTTGAAAGGAGAAAGTCATATCAGTAGACGAGGAAAAATCAGACAAGTGAAGAATATGAAACCAAGGTGTGTATCAGAATATTGCAAGAAATCAAAGTTTAGAAATTGTGATCAAGTATTTGACAGTGATCGTGAGTTGATTTTTTGAAAATTTTTGGAAGATGTCTTCACGGGATGAACGGAGAAATGTCGTAAGATCATTGACATCTGCAACACTCTGCGTCAACCAGGCGTCAAAAATGTTATACTTACTGTTTGAAATTACAAAATGGAAAATCAATTCAGGTCTGTAAAAGTATATTCTGCTCCACAATTGGTATGTCAGAACAAACAATACATGACTGGTTAATTGGTAATGAAAAAGATGACACCATTGATCTCGAACGACCCAAGGAAGAGGTTAGAAGTGGTCCCACAAATGAAAATGGCCGAAGAAGATGTAACTTACCTTAAAGAGTGGCTCCTAAATGTGCCATGTGTAGATTCACATTGCAGGAAAAGTGCACCCTATAAAGATAAAAGGTTTCTGGAACCAAGTAAAAAAGTGATCAATCTTCATGAAACTTATCTTAAAGATGCCGAAGATGTAGGTAAGATGGCAGTTGGTTTCACGTACTTTAAAAATATGTTTTGTAAACTCAATCTGTCTGTATTTAAACCAAAGAAAGACCAGTGTGACCTGTGTGTTTCTGCAAAAATGGGCCATGTAACACCAACTGAACACCAAAATCACTTAGCTGCCAAAGACCTGGCTCAAGGGGAGAAAGCATCTGACAAATTACGGGCTGCAGATGACTCTAGTGTTTCCGTTTGGACAATGGATACACAGGGAGTATTATTTTGCCCAAATACTACAGCTAGTGCTTTATATTATAGAACCAAACTACAAGTACACAATTTTACACTGCATAACATGACCACAAACAACGGATATTGCTATATTTGGGATGAATTAGAGGGAGATCTTTCTAGTGAAGTTTTTACTTCCATTCAGTTTCAACATTTTCAAACCTTCTTGAAGAATAATCCACAAGTCAAGGAATTAATCATTTGGAGTGATGGTTGTTCTTACCAAAACAAAAACAATACTTTAGCTAATGCTTACCTTCAACTCTCAATTGAAACCGGGATCCGTATATTCCAGAAGTACCTGGTTGTTGGCAAACAGTGAGAAAGAAGCTCCGTCTCTATATTGTTAACCAACTTGTATTTTCAGATTTCAAGAAAATGAAAGAAAATCGTTTTAACAGTATTAGACCGGGGAGAAATTTGGGTGACCCAACAGTAAATAATCTGTGTAAACTCATGTATGGTGAAGGTGTGATATATTATAAACTCTTCCAAAACTCTGACGACTGGGAAGTATTACCCATCAGAATTGCATCTGTGTGTTCCCCAATGCAATGGATGCCAATATTTGAGAACAAAAGGCCTATAACAAAGAGAAAATTTGACGATCTTCAATACATGAAAAAGGTCATGCCTACTCAAGTTCATTCATTCTTCGACCAGTTAATTGTTAATTAAAATGTTAATCCATAATCAAAATGTTGATCGTTAATTAAAATGTTAATCCATAATCAAAATGTATATTTTGAAGTTTCTAAAACACAATAGTTTAATTGAAATCTTATTTTTACCACTACTCAAAAAATGAGCTCCTAAACTTTGTTTCAGTATTTCTGTTTAAATTTATTTTAAAAATGTGTTTAATAAATAATGTTATATGTTTCAATCCTGTTTCTTCTGCATTACGACTGTTTGGATGAATTGAAATTCAAATAATGGTACCAGAAAATTTTCCTGAAATGACATCAAATCCATTTTATGTACATTTGGTAGCCGTTTGCGTGCTCGTAGGAATTCATCTAATCAATTAACTTATTAATGGAGTCCACATAGGGTATAACCCAGAAATATCAACCTCAGAGACTATGGGATTATGTTTGATTTCATAGCATTTTTTGTCTATTGCACAAGTCATTTTATACTCATGTACAATTTTCTTATATTTATGGACTGATATATTTAATCAAAAGTCATTAAGGCATTGAATTAATTAATTGTCTGATGAACTATTATCTTTTAACCTCACCTGTATGTGATTATTTTACAATGGAGACAAGAGAACTGACATGGACATTCAGATGGTTAATTGTCAGTCGTTTATCATGTTGAAGTTTATTATGTTGAAAGTCGTAGGACAAATTTTTATTGTGGTTGCATATCATGGTGATTGATCAATAAAAGTGTTCAAATGAGCAAAGTACATTATGGGCCCCTACAAATTACATGTCAGGAACCCAGTTTGTACCTTACATGGTGTGCTTAATCTAAATCCCTATAATCCAAGACATATCTCTTAATAGGAATTACAAGGTTTATGTCACCAAGGTCATCTTAAAATCATTTGGAAACAGAAGGAATTACTACAAATAGAACTGTTCTAAATTTACATTAACTTTAACATTAAATTAGTCAATTTCTAAATTCATATATGTGACAATTCTATGTGATTCTTACAGAATTTAATTTAGTTGCAGTATACAGGTCAATATAAATAATTGATACTAATCAATAAAAAATTTAAAGACATATTTACCTTGTTAAGTTATCTCAACTAAATTCCTCCACTCGTGGAGTATAACGTGGTTTTACTACTAGAGATATTAACATTGTATATTAAAAAGCAGAAAACAGGAGCAACTGGCGTGAAAGCTCATTTCATTGGTTGACATTCATTGGTTGATTACCTTCATTCCAGTCCTACACACAAACAGGAGAAATTGCTCACCACGAGCAACGTTTGATCTGTAATAGTGTCATTAACAACTAATCATGTACAAGTCTATGACCACCACATGCTGCTAGTCCACAGTTTTAAACACCAAGAATCATATTACATTTTATTACTTTTACAGACACAGGTCATAGCATTGTTAAAACTTAAATGAATAGCACAATAGTTTTCTTCAAGTACCGGTATATCAAGTATGCCGTAAGTGTTGCTTTGCTTAAATAGTTATGAAATATCATACATAGCAAAAACATTTCTCCTAACTATTATTTTATCTTGTATTAGTTAATATAGTATCAAATAGAAGTAGAGAAGAAATCAAAAAAGTAGACAAATTGACATATGAAACTATACAGGAAGTCCTTTCTATACACAGCTGACGTAAGCTTACTTATCAATTAACATTATAGTCTGACCCAAATACAAATTTCATTGCTTCACATTCACACAGGATAAATAAAACTAAACCTTATATAATTATTCTTTAATTTTAAATACCTTGCTTGTAATGATTGTATTATGTGCTTGGAAACATTGTATTAATGATGAAATCCAACCTGAAAGCCTGACAAAGTAGGCAACATTGCAAAACATAGGAAACGATTTCTTAACACATTTTTTAATACATGTAAACTTCAACTGTTAATTAATGAATATAAACCTTTAAATATGTAGAGGAATTTCTTGCATGATAAAATCTACAAGCAAAACACTTCTATTATCCAAAAATCTTGTTCAAAGCATATCAAGGCATATCTTCTATTATTAACATTAGACATTAACATCTAAAATATTCCATTTACCTACAATATCTCTTTAAACCTCAGATTATTGAAATTGTGATACATTTAAGGCCACGTTTGTTTTTTAACACTACAAAGAAAAACACATGCTTTTGAATGGCTTTAACTTCAAAAGTTAGATCAATAATTCTGATATGAAAATTGTCACACAATTGGATACAATTTATTTTTTAGATTTATATATGACAAACTTGCTAGCACATGTCATATTAGTTTTCACTATAGGGTCATCTTTTAAATTCTCAACGGGTCAGAAATTTACTGTGAAAACTAATATGACATGTGCTAGCAAGTTTGTTATATATGTGATCACTTGTTGTGGATGCAACGGGCTCTATATTGGCTGGAACAGAATGACAATTCATAGACAACAAATTCGAGATCCTAAAACGAGAATGATTCCGTTGAGTGAACACATTGATGTCTGTGCAAGGGGAATATCCCCAAATTTTATGGTATTTCCATTCTACAAAATGTCCAGCCAAGACAGCCTACTAATGGGAGTCAAGGAAAAATATTTTATTGATATATCTCCTAAAGACAATATCATGACATCATATGTTGTGTATTGTATTGTTACTATGCCTTGAAAATATGAAATTGAAACATGTTGGCAGTAAAAATTAACTATCTTTATTGGCATTATTGATCTCATTTAACTATATTCTACTTTTGTCAGACTTCTTTTTGGATTTTATGTATATAATTTCATATATTGACATAAAAGTTCTATTGAGCTATGGGTTTAAGTCTACCATGGACTAAAATATCATTAAGATTCTTATTGCGTTTAAAAGCAATAACTAAATCTTTTTGAAATATATCAGGGAATTTTTGTTGGAGTTCCCTGTACCGTTCCTTGATAATTGGTATGGCTTGGCAAGCTGTGCTACTGAAAAGTCCAACAAATGGAATTATTTGATAATCCACTTGGACATTAAGACCATTTGGCTGTATTGTTTTCAGAAATATTTTCGAAGAAGTCTGTAGGTTCTTGTTGGGATATCGTTTTGATCATGAATTTTTTCAATAGGTGTAATTCGGACATCATTTATAGTGTGATCTGACTGGTTAAAATGTTTAGCAACAGATTTGTCAAGATTATGATTTATATCGAATCTATGCCCATCGAATCTTGTTCTTAATTTGTTTTGTGTTTCACCGACATTGTTTAAGACAGACAGTACATGTTATAAGGTATATAATATTGCTGCTGTCACACGAAAGGTTTTCTGTTATTGGAAATTTGGCATTATTTGAGGTGTTGGTGAAAAAACGAGTTGAGTTAAAAAATGGGCAGGTCAAACAAGAAGTTTTGAAACAGGGTGTGGTTAGGGTTAGGGTTAGGGTTAGGGGATATATTAATATAGAAGCATCCTGGGGCCATGATATATGAAAATATATTTTTTTCTATTATCAATATGTTAATAAGGTGAAAATAAGACTTTAATTTCAAGATATCTGTATAGCCTGTGTGTCTGTCCGTCCGTCCGTAAATATATAACTGTCTTAACACAAAGATTTGCCACTTGCTGCCACTCAAAAGATTCAATTCTATATGGATGAAAATGAAACTTGACATGTTGAATTAATCCCACAAAAGCCATGAAATATGAAAATTTCACTCTCAGAAACATTCATTTACTGATAACTCCCGGACAAATTATCTGCCATTACAAATGTGGGCATATTACGATGGCATTGCTATTTTTATTTATTGAAATGAAATGAACATGGGACATGCCATTAATGTAATTAATGTTAATTAGAAATGAACACTTTTTCCGACTATCAGCAACAATTCCAAACTAAACTTGCTGATCTTCAGAATGACTCATCAGCCTCTATTATCCACAGATTATGAATGTCTGAGTCCAAATTTGAGTTCACATGCACAAATCTTGCTATTGCTGTTAGCCACTTCGTATCTCATGTAGTGCTTGAAGCATCATAGTGGCAATCTTGACAAAAAACGAGCTAGTCTGGACATTTCTGAATGCAGCGCTCTATGCCTTAAATAAACAAAGCCAGTTCCATCAAGACTGATTTTCTACAATGTCCCTTTTCCCCACACGGTACCAAAATACAGTCGAGAGGTAGGCTGGAAAAGAATGGGAAATCCTACCCCTCGACTGTTTTGTGGTACCACGTGGGGAGTGCCATTATCTCATCCGTTTATCACGTCCGAGGAATGGAGAGGGCCAGATGTGTCAGGCTATTTATAACAGATTGTTTCATTAGATGTCTGTGGATGGCAGTATATCTTGCTGAATGACAGTATATCATGCATGATGACGTATATGACATTAGGAGGCAACAACAGATGATGGTGGGTGAAGTATTGATGATAGAATACAGTATATGACATTGGATGACATTTAATGATGGAGAATGATAGTATAGATGGTGGTAGATGACAGTATTTGACGGTGGGTGACATTAGATGATGATAGATAAAAGAATATGATAGGGGGGG